TTAGTTAGGTATAGTACGCGCGGTAACGACGGACGAAGTATATATATATATACACACACACACACACACACACACACACACACACACACACACACACACACACACGGATCCGATTGCAATACACTCGTAGGGTGTGGGTAATAATGTATGTCTTACAGGTTTGAATATTTTGTACTAGTAGTTTTTATCGCGATTTTTTTTTTTACAGTCACGTGTCTTAATTCACTAGTTCACTAATTAAACTAAATGAATTATTTTTAGGGGTCTAGGCATAGTTCATGAGCATCTGCCCTTAAAAAAAGAAAAATCGAATAATCATAGGCTTAAGGCGGTACAACTGATAGAAAAGTGTGTGTATACGCGCACTAGTAATATTAGTAGTAGGAAAACTAGGCTAGAAAGCGTGGTCTGTGGTGACAGACAATAGGTGGTGTCAGTGGTATATAATACAGTCACTACTGAACAATTTCAAGAAAATGAAGTAACTTGGTATTGGTGTCTTAAAAATTCCAAATCTCTTTTACTGCTTTTCTCATCTCATCTTTTTATTTTGCATGATATACAAGTTAAAATTTGAATGTAGGGCTTAACCCCCTCGACCCTTTACAACTATTTTACACTAGCTGCCAACTATTTCGTATTTTAGTTTATTTAATTATCTTCAATCGGTTTTTCAGTTTCTTCAGCTGCTGAAGATATGAGAACGATAGGCAGCAACCTGCGGGCCAGCCGTGAACCGAGCTGTGATAGTGTGGCCTCCCTCATGAGCTCATGCCATAGTGGCTCTCTCAGTCCTTTGGCGACAAACTTTCGACGTCAACTTAGTGAAAGTAAAATTTCCATTTCTTCTTCTTCTACTACTTTTGGTGAAGTTCAAATTATCAGGATATTCGGATTATTCACCGCCATAATTTTTATTTTAATATATTTATTTTAGACTTATGTTTTTATTCGGGATTTTCTACTTTTAGGCATATCGGAACTATACTTTAATGTTTATAATTGTTTAATGTAGTAATGAATGTTTAAAAAAATCACTTATCATCTTACAAAAACAAGAAATGTATCTGGTATGAGAATTTAACGTTGGTATTTGACTTTTTTTAATGAAAAACACAGCAGTTAAATATGTATCGTATATCTTAGTTTAGTGTAAATATAACCGCGAAAATAAATTGAATGTAATGGTCGAATGACAAGTGTTTCTGTAACAACACGATGTTTATACTCGACAGGGATTAAAGAGTCTAGTCCTTTTCGAAAACGGTCGGCTTTGATACGACGATCTGAAAGAAGTAGCAGAACATCGTTTGGATTGGAGAATAGAGGTATACATGTGGAGCCACCTGTTGTATTTTATTAGAAACTTGTTAATATTATCGGTGACTGAAAACAATTTTTTACTCACCTATAAATCAATTACTCTGACATAATTAATCGAAAGATACTAAACAATAAAAACAGCTTATTGAATGAATTGATACAAAATTGTTTATTTCAGTAAAATGTTTGAGTTTTTTAGCATAGTTGAGCCTGTTGTGTTAGTATAGAATTATATTAGAATATGTGATGATTTTATTCCTTTCCTATAATACAATTTTAAATGTTTATGTTTCTTATGCACTGAAAAACTTGTTTTTCTATTCAGATAGGTTATCTCAATTCAAATTTTTTCAAAGTTCATCACAACATGTTGGTTACTAATTTAATGAAGTTTCTAACTCAAAAATTTGGATTCAGTCCTACAGAATTTACTGGATGTTTGGGTCATCACAATATTCCAAAAACGATAAAAAAAAAGCATTAAAATTTCGGTTTCATTGATAGTTAAGTTTTAGAGATTTTCAACAATACAACTTCTGTGTTAGATAAATGATAATAAAGAATAAATTAACACCTCTAGTTTATTTTGTGCGACATTTCAAACAGACACCCTTTGTCAGGCACAGTCTTTACTGCCTGATGAAGTGTGTTTGCTCAAAACAAAATAAACCAGAAATTTTTTTCATTTAGATGTGTCAATTTATTCTTTATTAAAATTTCTTCACACACATCTTGTGGAACAACACACATTCAACAACTTCTATGTTCTCCCATTTGTGTCAAGAATTTAGTGAAAGTCCACTGGTGTATGTAAAGCAATTTACCAATACCAGGCCTATTTTCAGTGATGAACTAGTCAATATATATGTTTACCCTAATTTCAGTTGCAAGTACAAGGTTGCAAGGTGTGATCTTTGCATTTAATGCACATGCTGTGGATGTAGTCGCAATGGGGTTCTTGTTAAAGTTAAAATAATCAGAAAGAGAGGTTGTAAAAAGACATTAGAATCCAATCAAAAGAGGATGAGAAACTGCAAAGCATAAGTAGTAATAAGAATAAGATACTATATGCTTCTCATTGTAGCCATTATAGTTGTTTTGGATCGTTCAGTGATAGAGACTTTGGTATGATTGATCATACCTCAACCAAAGAATGTCATAAGAACAAGTTGAATACCATTTATTGTTTTTTTTTTATCAGATACACAGAGTATTGTGGATATAATGAACATTATAAAACCATTTTTACAGTTCAAATCAAGGTCAAACTGGAATGGCCTTGAACAAAAGTAGCTTTGCTTTGGGAACTATTATCATCAACACTAAAACAACATTTCGCAAACTTTGTTGAATTTTTTGAAGCAAAGGAAACAAATCATAAATGTAAAGTTTGATATTAAAAAAAAAATTGTCTGTATAGGGACTTAGGTCTTCTTAGACCTGGGAAGGTCAGGTACATTTGACCTCTTTCTCCTCCTTGTTTGTGCATGGTGGATGATTACAGAATAATATTAGTTTAATTACTACGAGGAGATCAGAGTTTCATTAGGTTATCCTATGTCCATGTAGGTAATTATAATAATATTGATCTGTTGAATGCTCTTTCTCTTTATTTGGTAGTGCAAATGTTCTACACATCATGAACAGTTCCAGTTGTATTCTTCACATTTTCATCAGTTTCAAATTTCTCAGAGAGCATTATATGTAAATACCCTTTTTAATGCTATTGTAACTAATGATGAGGTGTAAGTCTAGCATTAGGTGGCCTTAATTCATGTTTCTTTCTAATGTAAATATTAATTGGGAAGAGGTACTTAGGGCTATCTTCATCATGTATGCAGTAATGATTTAGTTCACATAATAATTCGTTTTTGCACCAACTTTTCTCAATGATTTAGTGAGCTATGTAGGAGTCTATCAATTCTGATTAAATAGTTAGCACACAGGATCACATACAAAAGTTGTAATGGTTTTCAAATGAGACCCAAAACTCGAGCACTTTCAAATAGTTCACTATTACTATTCTTCTTCAGAAGAATGTAGAGAGAGATCTTCAGTCTAATGTTCTCCCAATTAAGCTATCTCTGCCCTTTATTCTCCTGAAGAAGAATAATGAACTAATCGAAAGTTTTGGGTCTCATTTGAAAACCATTAGGAGTGTATGATATAGTGTTTCTAGATTTGTGTAATTGTGAATGAATTTTGATGATGTAGATCTCTGTACTGTATTTCACATCAAACGGTTCAAGCCCACAGAATACCACACCATGTAAACATATGCAACACACATTAGAAAGTTGCATGTGTTGTAGTAATTGACATATTACTTGGAAATACATTAGAATGCTATATGTGTTATAGTAATTGTTGTCATTATCATCGTTTTTTGTCTTGTTTATGTTTGTTGGGAATGGTGGTTTGTACAATTTTGTATTATGTATTGATTGACCTCATTGTAAAAATGAGTATTCATATGTGGTTCATAGTGTGTTTTTAAAACATTTTAGATGAGTCCAAAACTGTTTGGGATCTGATTTTTTCATTCAGTTGGGAACAGTATTTGTCCATTGTTCTTGTTTTTATGAGTTTAACTTCTGTTCTTATTTTGTCCCTCAGTGTATTTGTTTGGGTTTTGATTGTATTGTCTTCATAATTGGCATAATTTTTTATCATTGTTATTAGCTGTGTGTGTGTGTGTGTTTGCCAAGTATAGTTTAGCATTGAGTGTTTGTTTAAGTATGATCTGTTGTCCAGGCTTGTTAAGACACTCATTGATTGTTTGGCAATATATATCTAATTCAGGTAGGTTTATGGCACTATGGGTCATGATCTTTGGCAAGATGGGACGCATAATCACTCCAGTTTGCTTTTTTTTTATAGGTATATTTTTTTTGATTTATTTTATTTGTTTTGATGGGGGTGAGATTGAAGACACACCAGATTGGTAGATGATCACTATTAAGATCTTCTCCTAGGTTAAATTTTAACAATTTTTGTCTTGTATTGTACAAGCTTATACACAAGTCTAGTATATCGTTATTGTTGTGTGGAAAGGATGTATGGGTCGGAGTGGCATCATTTAATAGAACAACGTTTGTATCATCTATAAAATTTAATAAATGGCTACCATTTTTATTAGTTTCCCACCTCCAAAGTTTAGATGTTTACTGCTCAAATCACCTATGAATATAGAGTTTATGTTATGAGAGTAAATGTTATTTAGTAGTTATATATATATATATATTATACAGTAGAGTTTCAGTTATTGGTCAAACAGAGTTTCTCTTGTTCAAAGTTGCCATCAAAACTTGGCAGTTTCTGTACAATCAACTCACAATTTTAGGGTTCAAAGGAATAATGTTTTAGTTTATTTGTAACTGATTTTATTTTACTTAAGTTTACTATATGTTAAAAACACAAATAATGATGATGGTGACTTGTAATTATCATAATTTATTCTTAGGTCGCAGTCAAATTTACGCAATGATCACATTACCATTAAGGCCATTATTTTTTGAAGTTCCTCAGACAGAGATGGAGCTTGTGTTCATTGGTAGGCAGTGGTTATTCAAAGAGATTGAGCAGGTAAACGTTTGTTTCTTGATAGTACCAGTACAGAAAAATGGTTAATATGATTGTAGGCCCAGATGCCAGAATACTTAACCAACAAATAACACTCTGGAAAAAAGAAACTATTAAATAAAAATGTCACAAAAGGTTTATGAAAATCATGTTGGAGTAAAAATAATTCAATTAAATATTAGTTTCAGACTTTTGCTGGAGAAATCTCTAGCCAGAAATCAAATATTGTATGTTGCTAATTTATCAAATTAAAACTATTTTGCACCCTTGTAATGGTTGAGAGAAGCATTAACTTGACAGTTCTTTGCTGTTTATTTGGTAAAGAAAAGCTTATTTTGTATGTGAATGACTTGTGAATATTTAAATTTCTTATTACTTTAAATATCAATCTGACCAGGAGCTATTATCAAGTTCTGTTAGCAACCGAGGAGTAGTCATCACTGGTGGACCAGGATCGGGAAAAACTGCCCTTATTCTTCAACTAGTGGATTATAGCAGTTTTGGACGAAAAAGAGAAGACAGTCCTTATCATAGTAAAGGTGTGCACAGAAATGTAAAAAAGAGAATTTTGTAAAGTTGTTTGTCTTTCTAACCTATATAGCTAGTGTAAAGACAAAAGACGTTTTCTCATACAATGACTTGTATGATAGTTAGTTTTGGATGGAGAAGATACAATGTACTATACTATAATTTTTACTGCTGAAGATTTAGTGCTTATATTAAAAAGAGAATGAAAATTAATCAAATATTTATGATATTTGTTTTCTGATAAGAAAATCATATACTTATTTAGTTTCATAAAACTTTTAGGAGTCTGTACTGACAAATGCTTATTTTTAGACACATTGTCAAGCAATGGTAGTGATGCTATGTCAACCTCAAGTGGTGATGGCACTCCACATTATCAATCTCGACTTAGTTTGACCCATGAAGCTGCTCGATCTCTGGGAGGCCGTGTGGTAGCTTACCATTTCTGTCAAGCTGACAACAACATCACATGCCTCGTGCCTGAGTTTGTACACAGTGTGGCTGCTCAACTGTGCCAGTCTCCTCAGCTAGTTGGATACAGAGAGTTGTTTTTGAGAGATCAGAGGTATATTCGTAATAATGTGATATCTCACTTTTTTTTTATTGTTTAGATACATTAACGTTTGCTGAATTTGTTATGGGTAAAGGATTGTAGCCAGGAACTTACTTTTATTGAAATTAAGAACTTTTTTATTCCCATTGTTAAAAAAAACCTTGTTTCCTAGATGCTTTTTTAGCTTTCAACTTGTGGAGCTTCAATTTATTAATGTTATTATTACGTGTTTATATATAGCTGATTTTCCCTCAGTATCCTGGAGTGTTTGTTATATTATTAGAACCTAGATTAGGTGGGTTGTGTATCATCTGATTAGCAATTAAGCAGCATACAGATTTGAATGTTACTGTATGAGATAAAGTAGAAAGTTATACAATTCAAGTATCATTTTCAGGTTGCGGGTATTTGGCCATGCAGTTTCTGTAAACTAGATCAAGTCTCAGTCTGGAAGTCAGTTAATATAATCCTTTTTTTTTTCTACTTATTCTTGGTAAATTAAGCTCCATACATGTATTTTACAATATACAACAGTTCTATGCATTTGATAATTTTAACACAAGAATTTGTTGATAAAATGGTAAATTTTCTTTCGTAGTAGAAATGTACTATTTGAGTATTCATAGCACCATATCTTTTTCCACACAATAGAATTTACCAGTGTTGTGCAATATTCTGGTAATTAAAATCTTTACTCTTTATTTATAATCTTTACTTTATTTATAGTAAGATACTTGAAGCTTGCAAAGATGTTCTTTCAAAACCAACATTCATAAAAAAAAAAAGCCCTAAAATGATATACAAAATTAATGTTTTATTTAGAATATTTATTTTATGTTAAGAAACCTGAAAAATTAACACAAGCAGTGATAGTCCTCAGAGCTGCATTTGCTCAAATATAACAAAGTATTATGTAAATATTTTGAAGACAAAAAAATTTTTTCCTAAAATCTCAACAGAGTTTTGTAGTATTTAAATATTCCTAGGTGTATGTGTGTGGAATTTATTTCTATTCAAATAAATTTAAAGACAGTTTTATCCAGGTTTTATTTATTATTTAGCATTTGCATTCTTTGAATACTGTATTTCATTTTATTTCTGGTATTATGGTTTGGAAACTTTTTATGAACTGTCTTTGTAACTGAGTCCAAAGAATTTAAGACAAAGTCCTCTCCTTGAACAAAATGTACATGTAAACATTAAATAAAAATTTTCTTGTCTGTGTTTCAATTATGATTTTTTTTACTTGCAGGTTTCAAGACTTGCTATCAATGTCATCTTGCATAGCAAACCCAAGTTTAGCTTTTATCAAAGGTATTCTGGAACCATTAAACTCACTTAGAAGACTTGGTAGGGTACCCAATACCATGTGCATCATTGTGGTTGATGGCTTAAATGAAGCAGAATTTCACAGGCCTGATTATGGAGATACACTTGCCTCTTTCATTTCAAGGCACATTCTACGATTTCCCCCTTGGCTGAAAGTATGTAATCTCTCTAGCATGATCTGAGCACCTTTGTTATAGAAAATGTGAAGCTTATGTGTTTGTATAAATATTACTAATATCTCACTTTGCTAAACTTTGAATATATAATTAGATGAATGAGTAGTAAATTAAATTATTTCATTGAACTTATGAAATAACTGTACAATACAAGAACTAGCATTTTAAATATCTTTGAATTTAAGTTTACAATATTCTATTTTCTATATTTGGTAAATACAGCTATTTTTGAGCTGTGTTATTAGTGAAATTTGGTAATTGATTAATTATGATGTTAATTAATTGATTATTCTCACAAAACCTGGATAGTTGGAATAATAAAAAACATTAATTTCAATCATTTAATTAATTTTGTTTGTAGTAATGCTAACAGATTAAACTGAAAAACCTTGAATTAATCAAAAATAGTAAAGAGAAATCATATTGGTAATATTTCAATTAATCGATTATTTTACATGACATTAATTGATATAAGTGATGCCCGTAACTAATAAAGTTAATCACCCAGCTCTGTGTTTTTTTCGTGTGTTTTGTTCCTAAATCATCATACTTTTAAGGTTTTCAATAATGACTACCCTATGTTTTGCTCATATAAAATCAAGGTGTAAAATTATTAATGTGAAAATTATCTTCTTAGTGTATAGCAAAGTAGCCTTCAATTTTTTCACTTCCCAATAATTTCCAAGTAAATGTTTTAAAACCAGGAACTTTGGAAAGCATTTTGCAATAATTTGTCAGTAACCCAAAAAATCTAATGCTGTGAGTGTGATCATCTTGATTGCAAGTATTATACTAGCTATGATATATATTTTATTTTTAGTGATGTAATAAATTTTAATTTTTATCATTTTGGTAGGTTATAGTTACTGTACGAACAGTATTCCAGGAAATCACCAAACTATTGCCCTTTCATCATATCTCGTTAGATAGAATGGCATCTAATGAAAACTTAAACCAAGACCTTATTGACTATGTTACTTTTCGAATCAGCTCGCAATCAACCATTCGTGCTAATATTGCTATATCAAACTCAAAATCTGAAGGTTGTTCTTACATTAGGTGAGGATGAATGGAGATCAATATTTGATTTGATAGAAAATTTTTCTAATTGTTAGATAATGCATAATAATAATAATAATAATATATCCTTGAATTGAAGAATTCATGTACACAGAATATAAGTCTTACACTCAATTTTAAACATTTTGTGGTTGATATTTCAAGATGTTGAATATTATTCACACTCAGAAAGGGTAATGTTGACAAAAAATGAAGGATTGGTTTCTAAAGCAACATAATGTTGTCAACTAGTGTTTGTAATAAAAGGATACGAAGGGTAATTATCTTACTGGTTAATCTTAGCTTTAATATTATTAATCTCAGGAGTATACTTGCTCTAATAAAGTATCAAACACTTCTCCAAAGCTGTATGTCTGAAAGCTTATAATGCTAAAAACTAGGTTTTGAATCCTGTGGTGGGCACAGCACAGATAGCTCGTTGTGTAACTTTGTACATAGCAATAAACAAAGAAAGCAAAGCTGAAGTTGTGGAAATATTGAGTACATTTACTCAAGACTTAGTGTTGGTAGTCAATCAAATAATATTTATTGAGTATGTTGGAAACATTAAAGTTTGAATAACTTCATACATTATTGTAATTAAAAGTCTTAAAAAATGTTTTTAAAAGTTGTTAGACCATTTTTCAATGTGAGTAGTTTCAGTAGTATGATAGTATACAAGAAGATTTTGTAATAGGTTTTGTTAAAAGCTGGTTTTGAGGATTAGTTTTTGACTACTACTTGTTTTAATGTTTCTTTATTAGCCTGAAATACCAACATATTTATCTAAAAAAAACCCCAACTAGATTGCTACTTTTTAATTAATTTAAACAAACTGACTGGTTGAATATTAGTACTTATTTCTTTTAGATTTGCCAACCATCTTGTGTCTCTTAGCAAAGGCTGCATGTTGTACCTCAAATTGACTTTAGATCTCATTGAAAAGGGTCATCTGGTTATAAAAAGTAGTAGTTACAAGGTTCTTCCCGTCAGCCTCTGTGAAGTATATCTGCTTAGTTTCAACTTAAAATTTACAACTATTCGATCTTTTGAGAGGGTAAGAAGAATGCTACAAGTTTGATCTTGGTTGGTTTCAAGTTTTATGTATGTTATCTTGCAACTAACTGGTAGTTTTATATCATGATTGTGTCTTATATTTGCATAACTCTTGCACAAAGAATTAACTACTTTTTTTTTTCTGAATTTCTAGAAGGGATCTTGTTTGAAAAACTCCAACAAAATTAGTTTTTCTTTTATAATGTGGATAATACAGAAGTTCAAACAAACTTTCTTGTAATTATTATTATTTAAAATAGATGATAATCTCGGGTTGTTGGAAAAAAAGTATTTTTTATGACTGGTATATATTATGCATAGTTAATTTAGAAGGTTAAAATCTATAGCAAAGAATTGTATAATTAACATTTTATTTAGTCTGTGACTAAAACTAGTAACAACAGTAACTTTACAGATTTGATATAAATAACAAAAAGCTCTATCACTTTTTTTCAGACCAAATTGTTAATATAGATGAAAATGTACAGATGTACTAATGGTATGAACATCAAGCAAACAGTACAGTAACACATTTTCCTTTTGTACCAAATGTGTTTTAACTTGCTGTTTATGTTTTAAAGGAATTATTATTGTTACTTAATACTGATTAAATCACAGATCTGAATAAACGTTTTTGTTAGTTTATGCATAAAAAATGACAGAAAATTATCATCTTGTACAGGTGAGTAGCCTACTTCAAAGCTGTTTGGCCACCATGTGTCCTCTTACCCCACTGGAGCTCTACCACTCGGTCAATGCAGGGATTGTGTGTCAGCCTCTCACTTGGCAAGACTTTCTTGAAAGGCTAGACTTGCTGACTGCCAATAACTTTCTAGTACTGAGACAAGACAAAACTCTGATGTTTGCTCACCCTTCTTTAAGAGAGTGGCTCATCAGAAGAGAGGAGAATGAAGGAATAAAATTCATCTGTGATGTAAGGTATAATATTTACAATACAAAACAAAAAATAGACAGCCTCCTAAGTAAAGGGATATTAAAAAAATCAACGAATTAAGTAATGGTTTATATGAACGTTTAATCTTTATGGAATTGTAGGTTTGAATAAAAACCATCTTTAAAAGAGGAGAAGGTTCTGATGTGATATGTTAACTTTTATTAAGCAATAAGACATGAAATATCTTTTAAAATGAAGTATTTTGTTATGTTTACTGCACATTAATTTAAGTTTATGATCATAAAACATAAAGTAGGATGTTGAATAAAATTTAACTCTGACTCTAAGTTAATAGTTCATAATATCTTTCTTTTTTTTTGTTACTAGAACTGGACATGCATTATTAAGTTTGCGAATGAGCCGACTGGAAGCACCCCTTAATCCAAACCAGTGTTTAGAGCTTGGCCACCACATCCTAAAAGCTCACATATACAAGTCTGTAGTACGAGACCTACCTTCGGGGGTTCTTTCTCGTGATCTCCAGGCTCTGTGGGTTCATCAGAGCACTGATGATATCTCGAGAGCTTTGAGTACTGTAAGAAATGTATATAGTCCTAATGTTAAGGTGAGTTCTGGAAAACTTAAGACATAAAATCCATATATTGATTTAGGTGTTGAGACATTTACCTTATTAACAAATTTAAAATAATCCATAAGTTTAAATATAATAAAATGGTTTTTTTCATAGTAATAGCATAATCACAGGCTTTTCAATTCCCTTTTTATTCTTAGAAATAACAAAAAGGCTCATTTTTCTAAGCATTTTCATAAGCAGAAACTGAAAATTTCAGGTCAGTAGACTATTATTGCTTGCTGGAGCAAATCCTGACTGTAGAACCACTGAGCTGAATGATGCCCCACTTCTGGTTGCTGCTGCTCACCAGGGGTACACAGAAATGGTGTCATTGCTCTTAGAGTTTGGAGCAGACATAAATGCTTCATCTTCAGATGGTCTGAGTCCTCTGTGCTCAGCCAGCAAACAGGGATGTTTAGAAATTGTTTGTCTTCTTCTGAGTAAAGGTGCTAAGGTATGTAATTCCACAATAGGTACAACTTTTAAACTTTTGGGATATCTGTATGCTATTTTCTAAATTCCACTTTTCCTGAACTATAAAGAAATCTACATGTTTATAATCAACAATTTTTCTTTATAAGCTTGGATATAATTACATTTCTTCCTGTCAACTTCAAGATGGCTTTCTAGTGAACAAGTTTGTTTTTTACTGTATTTACAGATAGATCAACCTGACAAGAATGGGCGATGTTCTTTAGTATGTGCTGCCATGAATGGACATTTAGAAGTTGTCAGCAACCTTACGCAGTCTGAGTGGTCTGGAGAAATAGGACTGGGAAGGGCATCTCAACAGGCTGTAGTTGCAGCAGCTGAAAATGGTTACACAACTGTATGTGTTAGTTTTAGTTTATCTTTAAATTTATTAAATTATTATTGCTCCAAAGGTGCTAAGTACTTTGGTAAGTTTGTGATGATTGGATACTAGTTGTTGTCATATGATCATTTGAATCTAATTATTAATTTTTTATGTTTTTTTTACCTGCTAATCACTAATTAGTTTATATCCTGTATTTCAGTTGTTAATCTGTTCAGGAAGGTCTTGAGAAGAACTATCACAGTGATGGCTAGGATTTGATCTTAAGTCTTCTTAATAGGAAGGCTGGTGTGCCATCTACTCATCCAGGATCTTCCCTGTTAGAACTTGAATCAACAAAACAATACGAATACTTTCAGGAAGGGAGGGGTGCATCCAGATTTTGACTGAGTGTATTAGCGTATGTGATGGGGTGGGTGGGGGGCTTAGGGGTGCAGCCTCCTCAAATTCGCCCATTTTATGAACATTTTGGCAAACAAAACTCAGCCCCCCTCCCAATAAAAAAAACAACAACTCCTATATCCCTATGACTGAGTGTGTTATCAGTTAGGTGGATGTACAAGGCTTCTTTTTTTTATCTCTTTCATTTTGTTGTATGTTGTTAATATTCCATTATTTTTGTATTGTTTCATTTTATTGTATGTTTTTTGTTTCTCTGGCATGATGGGCTATTGCAGATAGTGGGTGCCACAGAGTCTTGTATATTTATTATTCTCCAGAATTTTATCCTTTCAATTTTTCTGTTACTCCAATGTATCAATGTCGTTCCATATTTCAATAGAATATAGTATAAGATAACAAACTCCCATTGTCAAACATGATGGATACTGAAACACAACTTATACACCACAGAAGTTTACAGGAAACCCACAGACAATATTAAGTACCTCAGTTATAAATCACATAATTCTAACTGTGTAAAGATGGGCATCACAAACTGTTTAGTTTCCAGAATGAACAAGATTTATAACACAGAGTATACTGAGAAGAATGAAGAAAAATACATAACTACAACCCTCCTTGACAATGAACACTAGATAAAGAAGTTAAATGTTGAGAATAAGCATAAAGAAAATTACAGACACTTGACATTCCCATATGTTACAGGTCTATCCAAAAACAAAGAGAGGATGTGTTAACAGCATAAAATTAACAAAGTATTTATAATCCACAACTCCATAGAATTGCAATTAGTACACACCAAACCACCCAATGGAGAGCAAAACACCACTTGCAACATCCCTCGTGAATTTGGACTCCAATACTTTGCTGAAACGTCAAGACCAATGAAAGAATTTGGAAGTATAATAGACATGCAAGATTGTAATACAAATTTATTTGTAATAGCTCGTCATGGTAGAGTGGAACATCTACAACTAAATGGAATAATCCCAAATTAATGTGTCATGAACTGCATAAGAGAAAAAAAAAGGGAAGGGGAGGGGTAAAAGAAGCCTTCATCCTCCTACCTGCTAATATGCTTAGTCAACCTAACATCAGAGTTGGCAATACCTGGATATTCTTCTTGAAAGCATCAAAATAGTTGATTCAAGTCAAAGAGACCCACAGACACAGTCATTCTCAGAATTTTCCTGAAGACTACAGCGGATTAGCAGCTGAAATGTGGTATACAAATTAATTAGTAATTAGTATTTAGTAAAAGAACAACCATTTATAATTAGACTTCAGTGGTTGTATAGATTATTAACCATGATAATGAAAAATCTATTTTGATGAAAGAGTTAGCACAAAGGATCACATATAAAATGTAATAAATTTAAAATAAGACCCAAAACTGGAGCGCTTTTGAATAGTTGACTATTCTTCTTCTTTGTTTTCCTGAAGAAGAATAGTCAACTATTTGAAATGAAAAATCTATTTAATTGTGTGTTGAAGCAGTATACAAAAGATTACCCCCTAAAATAGATAAAGAAATTGAGACACTGAATAAAAGATTATGTTCAAGTATATTAATTTTTTTTGTTATGTGGCTGCCTTTATTCATTTTATTTTTTAATTAGGTAAAAAATTCATAAAAGATTATTCAAGTTTACTCCTCAAGCCTTAATTGTGATTGTAAGCTGTGTATCTTCTATTCATTAGTTCATAACAACTCGGAGATAAATAACTTGATGTGTGTGTGTGTGTGTGTGTGTACACTGCTTGGCCAAAAGCATCCAGATCAGACACCTCTTCAACATGCTATATGGCTCACCTGGCACATTCTGCAAAAGATCTGTTAAAGTATAAATACACATACACTCAAACATGATAGGTAGATTAATAGTGTTGATACCAAGATGCCAACCAAAGTAACCTGTATTTAAGATAGAAGAGTTAGTAGACTGTCGGAGGTGTGGAAAGTTAATGCTTGATCGCATGAGACTATTCAGTGGAGTCAGAAACTTGATAATACAGCTTTAAAAAGACTCGTAAAAAAAAAAAAAGAAACGTTCAGTTAAAGACCCTTAGAAACTAACAAGTTTGTTTGTTAGTATTGTGAAAAAAGTGTATGAAGTAGTTTTTACAACAAATTCAAAGTGATTTTACTGCATCAAATGTGGCCATATGTAAACAGGCACCATCTGTAGGGTTTGTGCATGTGTTCTCTAAGAATGTGAGTACATTGGAAGAGTTGGGTATGCAAACTGTATATCACTCTTAAGACTGCTCATTACCTTTTTCTTTGTTGCTAAGCTCTCCAACAGTAGAGTATAAATGTTTGGTAGCAAATTTTGTGGCATGATGAGTGGTACTTCACATCTGGTTTTTTGAAGTGATGGTCAAACAAAGATAGGTAGATGAACGATTCAACCACTGAATTGGCCCACCAGCCACACCTAAACACAAAAACATCTATGGAATTATCTGAGAGGAATTAATTCAGTGATTGAACTATAGCTTGGAAACATTTTAGGATATACCTCAGACAATAACAACAGTTTTTCTGTGCCAAGGTTGTACTTCATCATATAAAAAATGTGTGCATTAGTACCCCCTTCCTTTCTCTCCCATAACTACATTTTTGTATACTTTTGGCAGTGTAATGTTTTCAGGTACCTCTACATATAAATTCATACATTATAAATAAATCAATTTCACTTGTCAGTATCCCTACTTAGTTGAGAATAAGGCTTCTTATTAGACATCAGTATTATGAGGTAAATTAAATTCCTTGAGATTTAATCAAATTATGACCATGAAATCACTTCCTTAAAGAAATTATATTTATAATCTAAATGCTTGTTTTCCTACAATATAATATATGTGCTCAGAAAATGTGAATAGTGAAATAAATTTTATCTGCAACTTTGAAAGTTTGCATTGAATGCTTGAACCATGGTAATTATAAATAATGCAGTGTAACTTGCATGGAAAGTTGTACATAGCTTGTGGAACATTCCAATTTGTTTACATCCAGGTCAATTAGGAACCATTCTATATATTTCAACAAAGATCTGTAAGCACAAGATTAAGGCCCAGTTAACAAATATTCATTTTATTCCAGGTGTGCGAGTTTCTGCTAGATATGTCAGAGGTGAGAGTGAATGCTCCAGATGACCTTACTGGTCAGACTCCTCTCACTGCAGCCTGTTATGCAGGGCATGCTGATGTCTGTGATATGCTACTGAGACGTGGTGCTTCTGTTTCTATCCTTAACTGTCAGGGGGAACCACCACTGATGTGTTCTGTGATAGAAGGCCACTGGGAGGTAGTGGAGCTTTTATTGAGTCACAAGGCTGTTTTGGAACAAACTGATAGCAAAGGTCGTACTGCCTTGATGATGGCAGCAAGAGAAGGACATTTAGGAATTCTGGAGCTTCTCTTGTCTAAAGGTGACGTATAGTTGTACATCATTATGAAACTCTCTTTTTAAGGTCACTGTTTTCAACTTTAACAGATACTTTTGTTTCACATTTTAAAATATTATAATAATATTAAGAATTAATATAATATGGCTACTACATAGAATATACCATTTATACATTATGAGTGACTAGTAACGTTTTACTAACTATTTTTGTTAAACAGTATAATAAAGAAGCAAATTTCTTTTGTAAGAAGGTGTATAATTGTAAATACTACTTTCTTAATTTATATTATTATTAAAACATAAATTATAAAGATCAAGACGCATGGTAGTATCGTGCAGCCAAAACAACCTTCAGGACACACTATATGTTATTAACAGGAGTGATTGTTTAGTAATTTCTCACTTCCTGTAACTCAGACAGTGTAATCTAAACTTAACCATATTTTCAATGAATGTGCTCTGCTGGACCCTTACTTCACATAGCAGATTTCAAGGCAATCCATTAAGAAATACACAAGATATAAAATCTCCAATTTTAAATGAATTCCCCCCCCCCCTTTTTTCTTCTCACCGAAAGTATGTAAACTTTATTTGATAGAAAAACATACTTAACTTTATGGATTTTTTTTCAAATATGGTACGCGAATAGATCTTTACAATTAGGTTTCAAATTTGGTTTAAATATAAGCCACATGTGCAAAGTTATTCAACAAAAACCACTCAAATTTGACCAAAATTTTCGCGCATATCTACACAAAGTTACGTGAACTACCAGTTTGAAATTTTTACTACCTAAGAGTAAAAGTTTTTAGTTTTTTGTCATTCCAATTAAAAATGACTGTTTTTGAGCAGCAAAACTGTAGGGTGCAAGGACATACAGATATATAAATGTTGGCTAAGCCAAGCAAACTAAATTATCAGTTTCTAGCTCGAGGTTTCAAAAGAATCAAACTGGTGGATGGTTATTATTCATTGCCAACTTTTAAGAACAAATTTGCTAAATTTTATGAAATTATCCTAATTAAAGAGTATTTAGCATCACGTGATATTAGCTTAAGGAATTTAGCATAAATAATGATGCTTGATATTGGTGGCCTACACTTACAGTATTGATAAAAAAAAATTGACAACAAATATTCATTCATTAGTTAGCTAGGGCACATATTTTATTTTACCCACCATCATGCCCCAATATGAACAAAAAAACATGGCCTGGCTAACTAATGAATAAATATTTGCTTATTTCTTATCAATGCTATAAGTGTAACTACCAGTTTGGTCACCAATTATGATTTTGTTCCTTTAAGTTGCACACTGAATCTTTTTTGACTGCGTAGGTTTTTCACACCTAAGATGTTTTTGATTAGATTTACTTACCCAGAGAGTGATTTTATGTACCACCATGCAACTAATGTAGTAGGTTTGGGAAATAATTGATGTGGAAAACATTTTCCATCATTAATCTGGCTGAGCTGATGAAAAGTAACATAACTCAAACTTCATTTCACAACTGTTCAACAAAATTGTCTAACATGAACATATGTTTTATGAGACATTAATTCTCATATTAGTTGTATGCTGATTAATCTTACCATTCATTGAAAAACATAAATTATGTATGCTGATATTTCTACTAGGTGGCAGCACCAATGCATCAGATAATGAAGGTATGACTGCTCTTTGCTGGGCATGTTGTAGAGGGCAACTTCAAGTAGCCCAGTGTCTATTGAATCATGATTCAAATATTCACCATAAGGACAAGCATGAACAAACTCCTCTGGACTTAGCAGCCATTCATGGAGATCCAACAGTTGTGAGTAATATTTTAAATTACACAGGCCTGCGATGGTTTTATTGTCTTGCAATTTTTACATGTTCTGCAGTAATTCCTATATGCTGAATCCGAAAATATATCCATTTTTCTCCATCACATACAGATTTTTCACAAAACGTCATAATGCAATACACAAAGAAAAAAACACCACAACACGTAGTTTTGAGACTAAAAGACGTAGACTTCACAAAAAAAAATCAGAACCAAAGAGAATGCATATTTGTTTCACATCAATATTCTTCCCTTTTCTTCAGTTTGTTTGTATCTTTGTTAACAAGCATAATAATAAAAAATGTTCATTGTGGTAAATGAAATAATAATTTGATCTAAGTAAGAGTTGTTCTTTTTTCTTCCCAATTTGATAGAAGAAAAAAAAGAATATTATTTTCGAAATCTGCATAACTGAATTATGGAAAATCTGTTATTAAAACCAAAATAACTTTTATGAACTTTAAATTTGCATGCCTGTGTTATCTTTCTCACAACATTGCATTAGCAGTATGCATCTTGTCATGATAAAGGTCTTATTTAAATAAGGAAATTTTATTGAGAATTAACTAAATATAATGTTATTTGTAATAAAAGTTTTTGCCATTGTTTAACAATGTATTTTAATTGTTAATTTGTGCAAGAAAATTGTATCGGTCAATTTTGACATCTAAGGATAAAAATTTTATTAGCTACAGTATTACTTGCTTAGGAAAACCTTTTATGAATATACAAGCATTTCACTACTTGGAGTATTATAACAATTTATGTAGTCTAAGATACAGGCTTGTGGGTGCAAAATCTTGTCTGATAAAATACAGCAAAATGTCATTTATTACTGATTTCAGTAAGGATTTTGAATTTATATGTCATTTTTGCTTGAGGAAAGTCAGTAGCATCAAAGACAAGAGGTAAACAATATACTTGAGGTAGTGAGTTTTTGAGCCAAAGTTATATAGCAAGCAGTGTTGTCAATTTGCACGTGCCCTCCTTCTGTAACACAAAGTGTATGTTGTTTCTTGATCATACTTTTTCAGATTCAACTGCTGTTAGACAGAGGGGCATCTACAGAACATGGATGTGTAAGACCACTGGATCGAGCAGTAGCCTGTGGCAATCTGGATGCAGTGGCTTGTTTTTTGCGCAAGGGTGCAAAACTTGGTAATTGCCAACGTAAATTCTTTACACAGTAGTTAACAGGATATAATGATATTAAAAGTTTTGAAGAATTGTTATTTATTAGCAAAACGAGCTTGAAGTTGACATATAAACTGGAAATGGAATATAAGTAGTGCATAGATTTCATGAAGTTGAATGTGATTTCTCAAATATTTGTATGCATGTCAAATGGAATAATCTGAGACAATATTGTGTCAGTAGGTGTGGGTGTAACATCATATAAAGTAATGACCTTCAAAAAGTACATGATGTTGACCTCATCTTAACAAAAATAGCTGTAAAGATTGTTCAGACATACTCACCTTAACATGGAAAGTCATAAAAATTGTTGAGGTGTGCTTGAAATGAAGACCTCACCTAAACACAGATGGCTATAAGGATTGTTGAAATGCACCTGGAATGAAGACTTAAGGATTCTTGAGATGTGCCTGTGAGTTGCAGCACAAAACTACTTAGAAAATTGTATATGGTGTTAAATGTAACTGGATTTAAAACAGTTTTAGGCTTTAAGCTTTTTAGATTTTTCCCAGTTCCTAAACGTTAAAACTTTAATAAACATGGCGATTATAAAGAAAGTTTTGCAGTATTAGGCAGCATATCTCGCCAAGGGTTTGGCATAAGAAGGTGAAACTGCACAGAGTTGTTAAGGGTATTGTGCTTATGCAAATACTACAGTATTATATCTAACTTTATGACCATCTCTAATCATAAACATCGTTACCTTTGGTGTTTTAATACAGACTTTGATCTAAAACAATATTCTATCACAGACTTTTTATGTAGTATTCAGAAACATTATTATATTTAAGGAAATATGAGAAAAAGCACGTTTTTGCAAGAGCTTTGGGCCACAACACAAATAAACCATGTAATTAGATGATCTGCACTGTGAATACATATGGAGGGCTTTCTTTTATCAAAATGAGCTGCTTGTCAAAGATACCGTAGTCACACTACCTTGTTGATATGATTGATACTTGAAACCACCAGTACTTGGTGAAACTCCATGATTACAGAATTAAGATTAAAAAAACAATTGTATGTTTCCCAAATATTTCATTTATTAACAACCACAATTTTGTCAGTAAAGGCATCATCAGGTACCATGTTCGTTTAAGGTGAAATTACTTATCTGTATTGAACTCGAACAAACTAATTGATCAAAAGCGTAAAAGCTCGGCTCGTTTCTCTCAAAACTTTTATGTTTTCAAAACGTGTTCTGTACTTCAGTTTTTATTTCACTCTTTAAAAAAAATACTACTTGTTTCTGTTTGTTGGCTTTGGCAAGCTTTGTTTCATATCAGGCAGGTGGTAGCACTGCCTGTGTAAGAATGGCTTAGGTTGTTTGTCCACATGGGTGCCTGCAGGAAGGAGAAGAGGGGGCACTTGACCCCTTTACATTTTACAAAAAGTGCACATATTATGATGTAAACTTAACATTATAGTTAAACTATATATTTTTAGTAATTTTTCTTACAACTGTAAATTTGTGTTTAAGCACACACAATACATGTCTTTTTAGTCTGTTGACTTACACTATAAAAGCTGATCACCTACATACATGTTTTGTCCCCCATGAAAATATTTTTTGGGCACCCATGTTCATCAAAATAGTATTTTAAGTATCTCCTTGATAGGGTGTCAGAACTTCTATACTATACAGTGTTTTATTTTATAACAATATCTGTGTTAATGACTGAGCCACAGGTTCTGGGAATATCTGTAAATATTTTAGCAAAAAAAGTTTGAATTTCTTGTTCTGCTGCTTTTTTATTACATGATAACTCAAAAACCAACACAATGATGTCAACCAAATACACTGAGTTGACATGGTTTCAAACGGAATAATAGTTTTTATTAGTAGTAATTTAAAAAATCAATTCTAGTGTGAACGATGTTATCATTATCCCTTGAAGTTAGCTTTATTACAGAAATTTGGTGTTAATAAGCTTAAGAACAGGGTGAAACAGGAATTACCAGCCAGTAATAGATAAACAGCAAATATTACAGTTGGAACCTCATTATATTTTAGCTGTTTCATGTTGGCATTTTTACAACAGTTTCACATTTCTCAGTAAAGAAAAAAAAAAGAGATTCTTTAATCCTGAAAAACTGCAATATACATCAGCTGGTAACGGGAGAAATGAAAGAGTTTGTTGCCCTGTAGGAGTTTATTTTCAATGAAGTATTCAATAAAGAAATTCAGTAAAAAGCTTTTTTTTTCAGCTATTGAATGATTATAGATTAAATAAACTAAGCTAGAACTTTGCTAATTTGGAATAGAGAACTTATAACTCGTTATTAGTAACCATAACTGGCATAAGAACAAAGCTAGAGTAAAATGATGGAGACCTGTAATATTTATTGCAGTTTGATTCAGATTCTGTAATAAAATGGTATTATTAAAACTTAGGAGATTTCTACCATCTGAGTTGAAAATATAATGAACAAAAAGTAACTTGTTTCATCTTATAATGTAGTATTGGATCCATAAAAACAGAGAAAATTTTGGAAATAATACTCTTTATTCAGATTATAACTAGGGAAAGTTTGACTTACTCATTCGTTAATGGCAAGATATTGTGTTGCAAACTAAAAGAAAAGTTTAAATAAATAACTGTAAAATGGTTGAGTGATTTGAAATTTGGTTGTGTAATTTTAAAAGTTCATAACCAACAATACAATGGCTGCATACATTTTAACCCTCCAAGAGAACACCCAGAAGAATTCCTTTTTTTTTGTGTTTTTCACATGTCAGGACCACAGACATGGGCAATGGCAGAAGGAAAAGCAGAGGCTTTACATCTGCTACTGAAGAAATTACTGGATGATGGAACAACTTTATCTAAGGTCATTGTTTGTTGTTGTTGTTGATTCATTTGTAAAAAAAAATAATTTCAAATAGTTTATTTGGCAGCTCCTAACATTTTATGAGTAAAATTTAGTATTGTTCTTCTTTACCCCTATAAGCAGTCCTGTAGTACACAGGAAATTATTTTTTTTTACAACGAAATATTGTAAGCTAAAGAAATTATTGTTTCCTTGGAAACTTTTTTTTTTAACTTCTTAGGATTATATGGACACAAAATATTAAACTTTTCGAATGCAAAGCTAAAGTGTCATTAGAAATTGTGGTT